GGTCCGGCGGGCGGCGGCGCGATGGCGAATACGTGGCGTTTCGCCGCGTTGGCGTTGGCCACCGCTTTATCGGCGTTTTGGGTGCAGTTCTAGAAAACGGAGAAGGCGGAGGCGTGCCGTTCGGCAACGCGCTTTTCGCGTTCGGCGACGCGCTTTTCGGTGAGCGAATTTTGAACGCATTTTAACGTTTGGAGCGGCGGGGGGGGCGGGCGGAGATTTTTGTGGCCGGCCGTGGTTGGAGCTGATAAGCCGGCGGAGCATAGTAATATTATTTATTTGGGGTATTTATTATATATTTATAATGGCATTGTTAGGAAGGAACAGATAGTATATATTTATTACGTTGCTTTTATTGAAAATTTTTTAATTAATTTAATTTGATTTCCAGGCTGTGTCTACATCTTGAATTTCTTTTTAAAAATAAAAAGTCAAAACATGAGGCTATTGATTATATTTATTTCTCCGAGAGATAAAAAAAAAAAAAAACTTAAATTTATCTGTATGACACTCATAGGTCTGTTTGAGGCAGCTTATGCGTTTTAGGATAAGCTGTTTATACTGAAATACGGCCTGCCCGCGGGCCGCAGTAATCGACTTGTGACCTGCGTTTAGTGTAAAAACTCAAACGCAGTTTCAGATAAGCTGGCGAAACGCGTGAACCAAACGGTACGACGACGTTTTGAAAAAGCCGCCCACACTTATAAGCTGCCCCTAACGGACCCATAGTCCGTTTAAGGATGTGGCACTGCATAGTAGTTTGGTCTATTTAGGTAAACTGTATCTTTGTAGCTTTTCAAAAAGTCACCATTGAAATCTGCATTTTCTCACTAGTCATGACTACGTGTTGTGGCAGCTTTCTAGCTACGGTCTAATTTTTCTCAAAAAAAAAAAAATTTGTAACTGACACCACAACTTTTGAACATCAGATTATTCTTTAGCAGCATTACAGTTGTTTTTTAATAAGCTGCAGCTTCACCAAGCAAACCTTTAAGTTATTTATAAAATTACCGAATCAGGCATCACATTTTTGCTTTAAATAAAATATATCTAAGTAAATTAAATGAGGCTCAAAAGAATATTTTATTAGAACTTCACCGATAAAACTTAAGTACCCTATATATGATCTTACAACCATCGTTAATGACTCCATACACTACACATATATTAAATAATGTAATTAATAATAATACATCATAATAATTATATAAATTATAAAGTTGTAGTTTGTTTATTTATATCAAAGATTCAATTTTTCATATTTATATATATGACACTCAGATCTTTGATATTACATAAAAAAATATCACTATTACTTTTAGGAATAAATTATATCTTTCATGCGAAGTTTACGATAATGAAGGGTTATAAATATAAATAGACAAATGTGACATGTAAATACATAGGAATTACGCGGTATGTATGTAAATGAAGCGTATTTTTCAATGTATATTATCATGTTGCATACTATTGCAAGAAAAATAAGACATTTAGTCTTGAGTAAATACATTTTCAAAGAGTTTAGGTAGAATCTACAATTAATATTTCCAAACTTGCTTGTACGAAATATTATCTGAGCAATCAAAAGAAAAATAAATAAAAAACTCTAACCATGTCTATGGTAATTAAAATAATAAATCCTAGTTATAATGATGATTAAGATCTAATATTTTTATTATTTATTGATACACGAGTGAGAAAATATTATGCCCAAATAATCAGACGTATAGTCGACGACGTAAATATTCACCATCGTGTGCACGTCAAAAGAACCGATGTTGTATTATCTTCACACATACATATATATATGTATATAAACTGTTGTGCTGCTCGCCGTGTATCTTTGGTAGTGCACTCACGTGTTCGATTCTGCCTGAATACATCTGCCTTACAGTATCGGATCGAGTGGTTAGGTACATTAAGGTTGCTAGTGCACGTGTTCGATTCCGCCTGAATACATCTGACTTACAGTACCGGATCGAGTGGTTAGGTACATTAATGTTGCTAGAGGTTCGTATCATATATATATATATATATATATATTAACGGTTCAACTACTTGAGAAAAATGCATTTGATTAGGATTCTAACCTAACCACCAATTATGTGACTACCCATTTTAAAACAAAGTATGGAAGCCAATCAATATTTAAAATATCATGTTATCGTGGAAGCTTTGCGGAGTCCACGTGGCAACACGTCACTCCTCTCACTTTCAAGGTTTGGCCATCCCGCTCAACCACATGGGCCCCACTTAATCCAAGTTATTGAAGCCACGTGGCAAAAAAAATATAATACAAAGAAGAATATTTTGAGAATAATAATTCACTTAGGAGCATGGAATCAAATCAAATGATGGGAGTACCGCATTCTTAATTTCTTATAGTAAATTGATTTAGATTTTTTTCAAATTATATGCATAATCCAATTCCATCTTGTTAAAAAAAGAGGGACGAGCGTTTCAAGATTAGTGAGTATAGAATGATTATTTAATATCTTAATAATGCACAAAAAATCAAAATACGCTAAGTCGATATAGCAAAAGTTTTTATGTAGAAAACTCGAAAAGTGAAAAAACCACGAGTCTAGCCATGTTATAAATAACTCACTATAACTTGATGATCACATGTATAAATCATTATCCCATAGACATGAGAGCGGCACGCAATTACAATATTGGTATGTATGAGATTTCGTTGCACGAGAGTCTTGAGCGGTTGCGCTTACTGAAATTTTGTTGCATCGTATTTGAAGCGCGTTATTACACGATACACAAAGAGAGGGGATGTGGGATTTAGCTTTTAGGGGTTGTTTGGCGGTGAGTAGGATTTAACTTAAATAATGTTTAATAAATCCTGTTAGTGTGGATTTATCAAATCTTGAGCTGGTTAAGTCCTGAAAAATGCTTGGTATGTTAGTAAGTAGACTCTGATAAATTATGAGAAATTGTTTGACTGTTTTAAACGAATTTAACATGATTTATTGAACATCCAAATATTAATATTAAATAAAAAAATATAAAGATTCTGATAAATTATGAGCTGTTTTAAACGAATTTAACATGATTTATTGGACATCCAAATATTAATATTAAATAAAAAAATATAAAGGAGTATCCTAGCCTCAAACTATATTAAAAAGAAGCAATTGCATAAATTAATAATTAGTTATATAAATCAATAATTATTTTTTACCTAATTACTTATTAATCAATAATTGAAGGTTAATCAATTATTAATTGTATGAATTAAAACTTATTTAAATTTTGATTAAGACATTTAAAATATAAAACATTATTTATTTATTAATTAAATATTAAATAATTATACATAAATTTTTCTAATTATACTAAATTGATAATATATAAATTATTTATTAATAAAATTACGTTAAGGCCATAAACCTATCTTTATATTTCTTAGTCTGCTCGAAACCCTCTCCGACATCCTCCCTCTCTATCGGTTTCTCCTATAACTTCTCATATTTGCCCAAAACTCTCACTTATGTCACTCTCCCTATTGGTTGTGCCCAAAACCAACGTCTTCTAAAATGAATCTTTCCCCGTACAGTCGCCATTAAAACTTGATGGGAAGGAAATGATAGTGAGACCACCAAAACTCAAATATTTCTTATCATTCCTCTCCGCTCCTACTAGAAACTATCGAGGAAGGTAAGTCTTTTCGCGCCATTCTTTTTCCTGATTCTTTTCGGACCTACTAAATCCATCGTTTCATAGTGGTTGTTTAGTTGTTAAGTAGGATTTAGTTTAAATATGATATAATAAATTCTATAAATTTGAAATTATAATATCATGAGACGGTTAAATTCCAAACACTGTTTTATATGCTAGTAAGTAAATCATGATAAATCCTAAGAAATAATTTGACAACTTTAGAAGAATTCAACATGATTTGTTGGATGGAACATCAAAAAATAAATATTAAATAAAAAATACAACTAAATATCAGAAGGTTCAAGCACAAAAAAAACTCACATTTACATTTACTAATAATAAAATATATAAATTAATAAATAATAAATTTTGATAGAAAAGTTAATTATTAAATAATAATTTTATATCAACAAATTATTAATTATATAAATTATGAACTACTAAAAAATTGATCAAATGATTAAAAATTTAAATATACCTTTAATTATTAATTAAACATTAAATAATTATATATAAACTGATTACTATTAATTGAATAATATATAAAGCAATCATTAATTATTAATCAGTTAAATTAATAAAAATAAAACAAAAATAAAATAGAACCACACGCGAATCTCGATCTTCACCCTATGCCCTAAACCCTCGCCTACATCCTCCCCCTCCCAGTTTCGTCCAAAACCATCGACTCCATGATCGAACCTTTGCGATACACTCGCCATCAGAGCTAGCTGCCGGGATCGTGGCTTATTAAAAATACTGCGTAAATCCTACTTAAAAACGGCTGCGAAACAGCCCCTTAAAGTTGATCTTGATTCTGACCTTTCGATCCAAATTCAGATCGTGTACCAGACAGATCATCGGCTATACACAGCATGGGGGGTTCTAAAGTTCAAGTGAACAAGGCTCATAAAAGCCGCTTCGCCTCCAAGTCCTCACGGAAGGCGCACAAGGTTCCTCTCGCTGGTGCGCAAAGCAAAAATTGATTTCGATTCTTAATTTTCTTTATGTTCGCCACACTTTTTTGTTTAAAGATTGTCTTCCATTTCAGTTAAAAGCAGAATTGGTAAAGCCGAGAAGAAGTCTATGAA